GCTCACTTTCAATTCATGTTCCAATTCTGTAGGAATCACATTGGATCCACCTAGCGATCTTTCCCTTGTAAATCTCTATCTTGCATTCTTCAGCTTCACAATATTTTTTTATCTTCTTGTTCTGTCTCATTGGCACTCTCGGGTATAATTAAACTCAGTGACTCCATTAAAGGAGAGGCCAAAGGGATATCTTCTATTAATGGAAAAATACAATGATAAAAAACAACTGTTAAATCATTCAGTAGATCTACATATAGAACACATGCATGCATTTTCGTTTCATTTATCAACTTAAAAATCAATTTACCTTTTACAGTAAAACTTTGCAGTCACTTTCTATTTAAATTGGGTCATCACCCTCAAATCTCATACAAAAGGATACAGTAACACATTAAGCTACACAAAGGAGCAAAATGATAAACATTAACCTAATAATAATACAACTATGTTTATCTACAATAACATTATTCATTACAGAATGCCTCATACATGTATACTAATTGCTGCCTCTAAAAGACATTCTTTAAAAACTTTCTGTAAATCGTCTTTTTCCTCTCTCCTCCATATTTGACCATTTGAGTCTACAAGGATGGGAAAGAGCATATACATGTGAATAGACTTGATATCAAATTACATGTGCATACATGTACTCTGATCATCCTCTTCTTCTTCTTCACTTTCATATTGACCATTTGAGTCCACAAAAGGGAGAGCGTCCACAGTTACCTGTCACTGTTACCTGTGTTCATACATATAACTGATAAATATCTGTGACCATATCCATTGTATCTTGTTGGTTACCTTGGTTACTGCAGTTGCCTAGTTACCAGCCATAGCCACTGTTACCTGTGTGCATATAATAAGAATCATCTTGTCTATCTATATTTGCTGCTTTCCTTTGGTTGCAAATTATAGCTATTTGTAATCATTTAGTTACCAGATATTAGTCCACACTACAGGTCCTTGTGTTACCAAATTCATTAGAATCATAGTCAAATCATGTACCTAGTACAGTTGGTAGTTCAATCTTAAACAAAGCTTACTATTAGTCGACATGCAAGCTGTGCAAGTTTGAAGTGCATTTCATGTGTGATGAAAATTAGTTACCAGGTTACTGTAGTTACTGGTAACAATACGGTTTTATATGCATTATGGTGTCCCCATATCTTGCCATGCCTAACAAAGGCAACTTACTATTTTATGAAATTTTTGATAATTATATAATGTGACATTAAGCTTATGGGGTGATAGATAACATGGCCCCTATATTCGCAGTATTGTCCACCATATATCCAGTCAAACTTGCAGCTAGTGATTAATCTCTGTGAGATTTCCATATCTTGGAGTGGTTGCCACGAGAGCATATCTCTTGGCCGAATTTGTTTAGCATAAATATCTTCTGGCCACTTTAAAGTAAGGTTTAAATTAGGGTTGCACTGATATTGTGATTGGCTTATCAGATATCGGCTTATCAGCCCATTTTGAGAATATCGGTTATTGGCAATAAAATATCAGTTATCAGAATATTGGTAAATTTCTGTATTGGTGCAACTCCAGTTTAAATCAAATGGGAAATTGACTTCTGCTATACCGGCCCAATAATAATCCAAGACTAGAAACTCTCCATTCTGGCAACATCTGGAGTCAGTGCAGGGTGAGATGTTGAATCCTGTTCTGTTCTATATTGCTTATTTAATCCTTCACCTGGTATAATGAAACCAATAGAGGTTGCTGCCAAACTTAATCCTTCACAAGCCACGTTACATGAGGCTTCTTCAAAATGCACCATGTTTTGATTTTGATGCTTTACCAGCAACATTATTAGTCTCATTCCAGCGTTCTACATTTGTAAATTATCAGTTTAGTAATTGTACCTTTTTGCCACAAAAATAATAATCGGTGTGATAGTTATGATTGCATCCACTAGTACTTATAGATTTCTGCTCTTTTTTGCCAGCAACGTCTTTATTGTGTCTTCTGAGTCGTTTGCTTATTTTTTGTAACTGTCTCTCTAGTTTTGTTTCTCTCTATTAAAAGTTATTTATAAATACTGCATAGATACTTTATATCCTATCTCATTAAAGTTGTTGCTTTCATTTTACGATACTTGAAGGACTACTTTCTTGATCATCTCCAAAAGACAAAACCTTCTCCAATTTTAAAGGCAAATGATTTTGATTGGGTCATTGCTGTACTGCAATATGGGATTCGTGAGGAAAGAGTCACACATCAGCAAACATGAAGAGACGGAGTGTAGACTGGAGAGCTATTGATCTATATTTGGCAGGATCACTTTATCTTTTTTTATACAGGATAATGAAAAAGTGGCAACTATGATAATGTAGGCACTGCCTTGATTTGGCTCTGCAGGTAAACAAGCCAGCAAAAGGTGTATTGTTTCGATGATAACTTCAATTTTATTTAGAATTGTTAAAAAACAATCTGATTCAGCTTATATTAATGCTACCAGCCACCATGTGTACATTTACCAATTTCCAGCTGGTATAGTAGTGGCAGTAGTATGAGCATCATCCTGTATGCAGATAATGGTAAAAGTACATACACATGTTACACACGTTGATAACAAACTTACATCATCATCATTGAGATACAGCTCTTTTTTTAAGTTGCATGCTTTATTCACTTCCTAACACAACCATGTGAACAAGAAACTGTAGGTCCTATACTCACCTTTGTCAATCACACAACATTTATATTTCTTATACATTAATATGTTATTCACTGCATAGGACCCTCTAGCTCATGCTCTGGTACTGCAATAAGGCCTCAGGAGATAAAAAGCTTTGGTGTAATTTTAATGCTTCTATATTCTTTTCTATTTTTAAATTCCTTCTTAATTTTATCTACCCATTTGCATTTCTACCAAACAAGAATTAATATTATAGACATTAAGAGTTTACAGTTTACACATAGAATTTGAATCAGGGCCATTATTGAGGGTTTTTTCCCATTGCTCTCTCAGGACCTTGCAGCTTCTTTCCTCTTTCTTATGTCATATCCATTACTAATACTGCTGCCAATGCCTCATTGCCATTTCATTATAATAAGGCACACCGGTCTTCTGGGAGTGACTCATGTAATAAATGACTGAACCATATCCTTTTAAATTAAGTGTATTTGATGCACCATTACATTTTTGAGCCACTTCGTACTCAAGCCATGCCAAGCTCCCGTGTGAATGGGCCAGGTGAGTTATTCTCTTACTGTATGTGGCTAAGTCAATCACATTGCTTTGAATCCTAGATGTGAATGACACTGAATGATAGAAAACAGCACACCCAGGGGATAGGGTTTGAGATATCTCTCATTTCAGAATGTGTAGCAGATCCCTGGACTTGACCTAGTTCTCAGGCCATAGCAACTTTGTTTGGCTTTTAAGCATATTGAAAGTTTTAAGAGCAATTAACTCTAAAAAAGATTTTTACAAATATGATGAGCTCAAACTTTCTGATGAATGAAAAATTACTTCTATACGTACAATTAAAGGACCATTGATCCGTAAAGAACTCTTTTGTTTTTTTCTCATTGATTAATAGTGACACAACCTTATTCATCATGTCCATCAATGTCTCTTTGTTTATCTTTTCCATGAGCATCCACTAGTACTTATAGATTTCTGCTCTTTTTTTGCTCATGCATTTTGTTAGATTTTGCGAGCAACTTTTTTATTGCGTCTTTTGAACTATTTTCTTATTTTTTGTAACTGCATCCCTAATATTTGTTTCTCTCTATTAAAGTGATTAATAAACACTGCATTGATTCTTTATATGCCCGTAAAGTTGCACCGCTTGTCCACACATCGTCAAACAAAGAGATGGAGTGTAGACTGGAGAGCATCATCTTTATTTGTGTCTACAGTCTCATCAGTCTTATTGTCCAATGAAGATTCAAGCTCCTCATAATTTAGAGCAGAAACACTACGTCTTGTCCTAGCTCTCTCAGTTGGACTCCTGCTATGATCACTTGATAAGCACAAGGAAAAACTGATTGAGGAATTTTTTCTTCTGGCAAATATGCTCTTGAAATCCTCCTATATCAGACCCAGCTGGAGAGCTATCATTTCCTCTGCCATTTACTGGCGGTCAATAGGAGAGAAAAGACACTCCAATTGAATTTATAGTGGTCAATCTATTAGACTTACCAAGCTGTGATAGCATTTCTGGATTCATACTCTGTTTGAAAAAAAACTTCACATTTACGCCTTCTGTTATTAATGTTCCTCCTAATGGCTGTACAATTGGAATTTGGGATTAAAAAGTCCTTTGTAATTTGTGTCATCCCTCTTCCTGTTCTTTTGAGCGATTGTCTGATATTTGCTGGAGTGTTTGTGAACTAATTTCAATAACTTAGAAAAAAGTGTTTTGCCATATCATTTAGAAGTTTGCCTATTTCACAAGACGATAATAATGGTATGCTTCAACTACACATTCTGCAAATCTTCAAGCAACTTGGTATTTATTATTTGAAAGGATACTTTGACAGATGAACTAAGAGTGAAAGATTTCCCAACTTTTGCAGTACTCATAGTAATTGTTATGTTTATAGGTACTTCCAGTCATAACATGAAGCAGTTACAGCCTTTAAAAAAGTTATACTCATAAAAATTGTGTTTCAGCTTGATTATTGATACCAGTATTATACTATTGCTTGACAATAATTCATTTGCCTTCTTTCAATAAAACATTTTTCTGCCTGCATAGTTTTAAGAAAAATTAGTGCAATAATTTAAGATCATATCTACCATGCAAATGAAAGCACCACAATCCACTGCATTAGTCTGCACTGGTGTGTTGCTCATCTAAGACATAGCAGTCATTTGAATTGTTATGGCGAGTACTGTCCATTCTATACTATGTACATACATGTATGTCTATAAACTTACAACACTGTTGATATTAGTCTTTACTTATAAAAACTCTGGAGCTACTTATGTGCATATCTTGTTTTGTTGCTTGACCCCTTTACCCTCTCCTCTCTCTAGGATGTGCCATTACATTATTGATGTTTCCTGTTTCATTGGCACTTCTGCAAAAGGTGTGTAAGTTATATTATTAGGGTGAGCCTGAACATGCCCCACGTAAATGACACTCTTCTGTTTGTATGTTTGTGCGCATGTTTTTAACCTGGCCCCAATGTAGTAAGTTTGAATTGTTTTCACCATAATATTTTTTGAGTTATGTGCATTTTTAAAAACAAGCCAATTTATGAAGAAAGCAAAGGCTAATAGCACATGCTTTTTTTATTAAAATGGCTCCAAATTCGCCCCCCATTTTTATTACATTTTCTGATGCATATTGATATCCTTATGCTATGTAGAAAGTTTGTACTGTTTCCAACAAAATTAATGATTTTCAGGTTACGAGCATAATTGAGAAAGAATTCTTTATAATAATGCATTGCACAATTTTATTGCTTAAAAGTTAAATTGTGTACAATTTTCTAAAGCATAAATTTTCAGATATGATATTATAATAATTGTAATCAGAGATACTCTATACAATAATTAATTGATTACCTTATCAATACTGATATGTTTCTTGTTAGTAGATGCTATATCTCACTGGTTCTGTCACACTGCAGAGGGAGAGCCTTGTGATACATACCTACAGGTGATCTGGCTAGTACCTGTGAGATGATAGAGTCACAGGCTCACAGCAGGGTGCTATTAATGGAGATGATGCTCTCTGTGTCCAGAACCTTCAATTTATTGCTCACTATAATTCACTTGGCTGTAGTAAGCCTTCCCTCTCCTCTCTCTCTCTCTGGCTTTTTCTCTCTACTCTTGTTACATTTAGTGGTAAACCAAACTTTTATTATTAGTAGGATTTATTGACAGGAGAAGAGGAAGCTGTTAATAGATTCTTTTATTGGGACAAAAAAGTAATGATATATGAAGCAGTTACTTCAGTAGCACATGCACACCTCGTGTGTACATGTACATGTACCTTGTGTATAACTAGTCAGATATTAATAATAGAATAATGCGTGATTACTTTTTGGTGTTATCTATTCATTAAGTGTTTATTATTATTATTATATAATTATTATTACAGAGTTCCAGTACTCATGATGTCCCAGTCACTGGTGGAATAGCAGATGAAGTGTTTGGTGACAGTGAAGTGAGTAGCATCAGTGGTAGCGGCACTTGAGGAAGAGGTGGGAATACTAGCAGCTGTCATTCAAGAGATGAGTCAACACCCGACACTACTAATGCTCATGGCGGTAATTGCTGGTCACCCTCAAGGAGGAACATTGGTCTTGATGATTCTATTAGTGAGAAGTGGGCTTAAGCTAGCAGCAACTGCTCAGATGCCAAAGAATATATTGAGATGATTTTTAGAGATTTTTCTGACAAATTGGCACAATTTAATTTAAGAAAGGAACAAAAACTAAGACAGGTTTTTCTTGATCTTGCTGCTAGACACATGGAGAAAAAACAATGAGAAAGTAGGTTTGCATAGTACACTTTGATGTACATGTATTATAATTTATTTATTGTAGATGAAATGTTTATTGGGCAATAACAAAAGGAGGAGGTGTAAGTGACAACAAGTGAAGGTAAGGGAAAGACAGAATAATGGATCCTGAGAGGATAGAGAGAGTGAGGATGAGATTGTCAAGAGGCCATAGTGTATTTATCTTCTTTTTGTTTTAGATTGTCTCCTTCAAGAAATGATATGTGAAATGACTATTATAATTATTATAATTATTTCTATTTAATATTTTTCAGTGTCAAAATTGTATGGTTTTATAATTCATATTATTAATTGACAAAAGTGTAATGATAAGTGATGGGGAGGATCATAACAATAATAAGTAATGCTAAGACAAGTAGATCTAGAAGAATATACTATGTTACCATTCAATGCCTACAAGTTTATAAAGCTGATGTAATTGTTTGTTGGTTTCATTATTTCTTAAAACCAGTTTTTTTTCTGTGTTGTTTATTTCCAGTTGATCTTTTACCATATCCTTTATCCAAAGGAGGAGGAGGATCAACTATTAGGACGTCGTCATCATCAGACAATAAACTGATCACTTCGGAGGTTTGAGTTGTTGACTTTTTCAATCTAGTAAAATCTCCAGGAGAACCATCATCTTTTTTCTGTCTCCTGTGTCCTCTGCTTTCAATTTGTAAAATGCCACTACCAGAGGACTGTCCTTCATTAAAATTACTGTCATAAGAATCTTCAG